AATGTCTCCTATTATTTCCTGATTTCTGACGTGAAGATGTCCTTTGTAGTTTCATCCTTCAGTTCAGTTCATGTTCTGGGTGTTGATCTTGAACTGCGGTATATCACCAACTCCTTCCTTTGATCTGAATTATTTGTAGGTGAATGCTGCAGCATTGTATGATTGTGACTTTCCTTCCTTTTGGGTTTAATCTTACTTTCACGATTCTGCGGGAGGAGATTGGTTCCCACTGCATGAGAGAGAGTCTTCGACGTTCTTGGGGACATCAAGATAGCCACTCCAAAACCCAATGTGCTCGTGGTTGTCATCTGAATGACAATATCCGAGTAGATTATTGACTCTCCAGTTGACAGTGGGGAGTTCACTTCCATTTCACCTGCTCTCTCAGATTCATTGCCTGGCACTTCTGTGCCATATCTCCTCATTTCTTTAGTGGTCTGGACAGCCTTGCTAGGTTAAAACATGGTGCGGACATTCCATGTCCCCACGTTTACTTTCACTTTCATCTAGAGAAGATAAATCCGCCCATTTGCTTCTGGGAGGCTTTCACCAACTGGCGTCATTTCGTCTCTCCGATTCCAGCGAGGAATAAGTTTGCTTTGAAGTTTCTTTAGAGGTTAGATTGCTTTTAAGGTGTAGGATTTCTAGCCCTATGCACAACCTTTCCTCTTTATCCGGACTTAGAATCGACTAGTAACTAGTGAACTAGTTGACCAGGCGAGGTTACAACCCTAAATTACACTTATTAACTAAAGATTGATATACTAATCTTCTGTTGCATATCAACTAATTCATTTGCAGGATTCTAGTAATTATCATGAAAATGCATTCCGTCTTACAACTTATATAATAACACTTAAAGTTAATGAACAGTCCAAGTGCTTTGTACTCGTCAAAAACCCCAAAGAGTTGACATAAAATACACGATAAACTATGAACAGTTAATGTCTAGACAGGTGCCCATCAATTTGTAACGTTTTACGAAATCGTTTGTATAAAATTTCACCCAAAATATGACCAAGCATATGCGTCATCGCAAAATATGACAAAATAGATTCACGAACATTGAAACCTGGTGAAAATTGACATGAGATTCAATCTATGGTCTTATCAATCCCACAAAAGTTTTATCCAACCTATTTTATTACTTTTTTAGAAAATTTTTGACTTTTTTCTGGAAGCCTGATCGTGACTCCCGTGAAAAACGTTAGAAATATCCATTTCAAACAAGTTGAGATTTATACAATGTATCTTTTCAACCATTTACTTAGTCTAAGGAGTGTAAAAACGGAATGGAAAATGTTGCCACTTCAAGTACAAATTACAGAAATGTTAAAATTTCAGGGACAATACATAGTACAATCCTAATATAAGGTGTTTCACATAGCACCTAATCACAGCATTTATGTTAGGGTTACTAAAATGTTAGCTATCTGCTACTGAGATGCGATTCAGTGATCTTCATTTGTCATTCTAAGCGAAAATATATTGTCTTTGGAACAAGATTTATTAGTGTTTACCTGGAAATTTATCTTTATATAAACCTCAAAAGTTTGCTTTTATTATTCTCTAAAATTATTTAGATTCTACTACAGATTTGACTAAATAACCAAATCGTACATATAAGTGGTTGTGTCAGGTAAATTTAAGTATTTCTAACCCATCTCATTGGTTAGGCTTACCAGCTACATGAACAGTCTATACTTTTTTACTGAAAACATTTCCACTATTTCTATATCTAAACTGTTAATTATATAATGCTTGATTGCAATTCTTATATTCCTTGATAGTTCACTTCGTTTTCAGAAACTGTCACCAACTATTATTTTAGGGTAATATTAAATGTTCAGACACCAAAAGAAGCTTTGACTTGTGTCAAACGGTTACCCAGAAATGTTTAACATTTTCTTGCCATCGAAGAAAGAGGACTCAATACATAGAAACAATCGCACCCTGCAGATATGCACAACTGTAATGCCATAGAAATCTGCTAATTATATTATGCTCCTTGTTATGACTTTAGGTGGAAAGGTGACTACTTCATGAACAAGAAAAATATTCCCATTTTAATAAACAAACACACTGATCTGTGTGTATTTATAGTTGTAAGTCACTTATGAGTACAGGTATGGAGCTCTAATAAAATTGGTTATCGACAAACGCAGCCTTTCACAACCTGACTAATTTTGGATTGATCACTTCCTTTCTTCAGCCAACAGAGGTGGCGATAAGGGTAAGAAGATTTCAAGACAAAACACTGATAGTCTTGCAAAGTATAACATCATGACATCTAGGTAAATATTTGATGATACTTCCAAATCTTTGTCTAAAGTTTTGCATTCCTTATAGTAATGATAGCAAATATGCAAGAATAAGTAGTACAGAAATACTGTGAAACTTGAGAAACGATGCTTTGACCAGTTACAGGTAACCGGTATACCTGCCAAGTGTGTAGCACTAATCGATGTATTACTACACAAGTTCTTTCTTCGACAGATATTAAATTTTAAATTTTCGAAAAATTATTAACAATTTGTCATGTCGCTTGGCTGGATAGTGTTTGGATTAAATGTCATTACAGTCTAACTTTCATTTTGAAATGATCTAAATACTATTAGTTGTTCATTATGAATATTTTTGCATGCTGACAAGTTAAACAGTGCTTCATACATTCAGTTATGGTAACTGGGACATAAACCTTTCCCACTTAGCAATCACAGATAAAATCTTAAACTATATTGGAAACTTTAATCTTTATTCCAACTGCAAACTTATCGGGAATACGCTAGAGTGAACAGAAGCATATAATACATGTTCAGAAAGAATTTTTTCCGAAATAGAAATCATAAAAATCATAAACAAAATGAATATGAAAGACTTCATGAAAGGGCACTCAATCTTCCTTCTAAAAATCAATTCTGCAAGCTGAAAACTTGCAAATCAATCATAGTAAGTCACTGATAAAAGTGCTATACTGAACTCTGAGAACTGAGCAATTCAATCAACATTCTGTGGGACTAAAATGTGTGCAATCAAGCAGTCCATCTTTGAATCATAATGATATTCTATGTAGAGTATACCAGTTATGCGGCTTCATGACTGTTCATGCACAGTCGACCAGCCATGAAAATTGACTTAAAGCCTAATCATTCGTTGTGGAAAGTTGGAGTTTAGAACATTTAAGTTAGTCAAACAATAACTGAACAATTGGGATACGATGAATGAAATAATCAAGTTGAATTGCACAGAGATATTACGTAACCAAATTTTTCCAACTGGAAACCCAGTGAATTGAGTCTGGAGTGCTTCCATTTTCTATAACCTTTTATAATTGTCTCTTTGATGTATGTTGATATCCTACTGACCACTTTTTTATTCTAAACAAAATTCACAGGTTCAACTAATTGACTCATATAAATACTATCAAGAGTCATTTCGAACCTTATGAATAATGTGTGAGGAACATTTTCTGAAGTCAAATACAAGAGGAATTCCGAAACGTCCTCGACCAACCAATTTAACAATAAAATAATTCGAGTACAAAGTAGTAAATGTTTACATAGGAATTAGGAAGGTTGAACATGTAATGTATCGGAATCGTCACATCACAAATGAAAAAAAGCCTACAAAAGTTGAAGCTATCTCTTCTTCACACTTTCATGTTATCTACAACATTTCCCTAGACATCCTGTTCAACAACTTAAAGCAGCATTACTGTTAGCCTTATACGTTTCATTAAAATAACGATAAACTCGAATATATTACGATAGGGAAAATCCTAATAATAATCATTCATGTGACAACACCCTTCGTTTGAAATGACCGGAAAGATTTGTAGCTAAGGATGAAAATAATAGTGGTTTGGTGTTCTACGAACTTTGGTATTTTGTCATGAACTTCCTTATGAAGTTAGTGATGGAATGTTCACAGCCAAATATCGAAGCTCAGAGAACATCAAGCCGCCATAACCCTCACTCAAAAATTCTTTTATACGTCATGAAGAAAAACACCAATAATATTATATTCCATACCTTTGTAAACGCTTATTGAAATACTGAGGCTATTAAAGTGCTTTGAAATATAAAATTATGCTAGCTGACTGGTGGCATATTATCCGGCATCTAGTACTCTTCATCTCAGTCCTGACTAGGAGTTCATTAACTTATGAGTATTTCATAGTGATGTTGCTCAGTTTCCATTTTTGAAATAAAAGTGGCGATTTCATGAAATAACTGATTCATTTCATCGACCACTTTGTGTTAATAAGTTCATTCAATAGGGTTTCTCAAGAATATGCATACTTTTGCTTCGTGAACAATTGTCGACTCTGTCATAGGATTCTGATATCTGTTATCAACAATTTGTTCAGCAGTCTAGCATGTAAATGCTATAAACTGCTATTTGGTTGACTGTATAGTTTCGACTCTTCCAGACATTAACAGTCGGAATAGCAGGTGACCTGAGAAATTATTAATTATTTTAGGTTAATACAATTTGGCAGTTCTGTCATAAAATAGATGAGAGTAATTAGTTAGCTCTTGCATAAGGCAGTTCAACTATACGCGATAAGAAAAAAGTAATCGTTCGGCGGTATATTTCATTTGTAAAATAGCGTGATATCTCATGAAAAAATAACCAAAATTTAATCTACCATTCTGAATAAGAAGCAGAAACTGAAAAAGATGCTACCACAATTTCGTATTAATTGTATTTAACATGTATCTTAAGTGTGCATCAATGTATATATATATATATATATATATATATATATATATATATATATATATATGCAAACTTCTGCGTGATCTTCAGGTTGAGTTTCGTTAGCCTAAGAAGAAGGGCACGACCCAATAGTTCTGCATTTCGTGAACATTATAAGGTAAGATACCTATTTTTAACGAGCTTAGCTACTTCACTACGATTAAACTTGCTTACTTTAAAATACTACATAACATAACATGCCTCAAATAAAACAAATTTTATTTTTCTCTAATTTATAGTAAACAGAAAATCGATGCAATGGATGTACTTCCTAGTGAAGAAATAACATGAAGTCTAACTTATTCAAAGATGTTGCATAACCATATTCAAAACTCACATAGCAAACCTCAATTACCTTGGTTACCGATACCTAACTTTTTGACTGATGGAGCAGAATTCTCCATTTACCTTCAGGTCAGTTCAAATGTTTGAAAAGTATATTTCTATGCCTTTCTCGATAAATGCTCGTAATATCTAAATAGTTCTTAATCTTTCCTAAGTCTTCCTCTTACAGAATATTGCAGCAACTGAAAAGAAACTTACTTCCAAATCACACTGATTATCAACAGGTGATCGATTCATTGCGTCACATGCCTTTACACTGATATGAATAGTGATTGTGAAAATATTGTTGGCTATGGTAACCCTGATATGCATTGCTAAGAATGAAATTATGCTGCAGAAAAAAAGCACGAAAATTAGTTCAATAAGTTCTGATTTACGCACTGTAGTATAAAGCTGTAATTACTATTATTGTTATTTATCCCTTGGGTTCCTAATGGAACATAAGGCTTCAGTAGCACGTCTCCAGTCCAATCTGTTCTCTGAAATCTTTTGAACCTGGCTCCACGACAGCCCACAATCCCTCATCTCCTCCTCGCACGATCTCCTCCATGTCACTCTTGGACCTCCAACTCGTCGTTTCTCATCGGGGTTCCACTCCAGGGCCTGACACGTGATGTCCCCACTCGACCTACTCAGTGTATGGCCAATCCATCTCCACTTCCTTCCACTGCATATTTGTTCTGCATATTTGTTCTTGGTTGGTTCTTTGCCAGCCAGCCAACCAGCCAGCCAGCCAGCCAGCCAGCCAGCCAGTCAGAGTTTCTTGTTGCTTATTCTTTCTGGCCATCTGATCTTCAGTAACCAGCCAGCTTACGCAGATGTTGATGAATGTCTGTAGTTTGTTGGAAATGCCTGTCTTAACACCCCAAGTCTCTGAACCATACACAAGCACTGACTTCACGTTGGTGTTGAAAGTCCACATCTTGTTCTACATGCTGAGTGCAGAAGATCTCCCTCCACACTGGTTTCAGGTTCATGAACGTCTGTCTTGCATTTCCGATCCTGCCTCGCTGGCTGGATTTGACATCCTCGTCTGTGCCGCCACCTGTAGTTGAAACAGTGATGCCTAGATAGGTGGAGGAGATTACTTCCTTTAAGTTGTTCCCGTTGATGGTGATTGGAGTTTGTTGTTGTTGTTGTTGGGGTTGTTGGTTGGGTATCTTCATCACCTCTCTCTTCCCTTCATTCACTTGAGGTCTCGTCTTCGCTACCCTGCCTCTTCCACCAACTTGTTAGTCTTCGCCTGTACATCTTCGAGTTTGTCTGACAAGACATAAGACATAAATCGTCATCGGCGAAATCCAGATCTTCTAGGTTCTGTTCCGTGGTCCAGCGTATCCCCCTCTTCTCGCTGCCTACTGTTTGCTGCATCATCCAGTCGACCACAATCAGGAATATCATAGGTGACAGTGGGCAACCTTGTTTCACTCCTGTCTTCACTTTCAAGGCATCACCGAGCTTCCCATTGTGAATTACTTGGCTGGCATGTGGCGTCTTCATATAGTTGTTGAATGAGGCTGATAAAGGTTTGTGGTATTCCGTGGTGTTGATGCAACTACCAAATCATTTCTCGGTCGACGCTGCCAAAAGCCTTTTCAAAGTCGATGAAGTTGAGGTGTAGAGTTGAGTTGACTGCCATTCTACACTCTGTTCTATGATGATGCGTAGGTGGCGTTGCAATTTGGTCCTCACATGAGTTGTACTTCCTGAATCCAGCCTGCCTGTTCCAGTCGTAGTTTTGAATCCAATGCATGCTTTAGCCCCTCCAGCATGATGCAACTTGATATTTTGCTTGCACTGGGTGGACAGGGGAGTGATTCCATGCCAGTTCTTGCAAACACTGAGATCTCCGTTCTTCGCGATTTTCACAAGGTAGCCCTTCTTCCAATCACTAGCCAGGTACCTTCCCTTCCTTCCACACCACCTGCAATAGTGATGTGGTGTGAGCATGTCCGCTGTTGTCTCTGAGTCTGTTTTCAGTGCTTCTGGGGGGACGCGATCTGGTTCTACTGCTGCGTTTCCGCATTTTAGTAGCTTTATGACTTTCAGGACTTCCACTTTTGTTGGAGGATTTATGTTCGCTTGTAGTTCAGCGGCTGGGCTGCAGGTGGTATTTCTGGACGAAGTGCAGGTGGTGGTGGTGGTGGTGGTGATGGTCGATTCAAGAACTTCTTGAAGTGGTCACACCATTGTTTCCTTTGTTTCTCTTCTTTCGTAATTAAATTTCCGTCATCATCTTTTATTGGTTTCGTCTGCGTTGATCTCTTCCATAACAGATAGCAACCTGGTTATTTGATACAATGTTGTCAGGTCTCTATCTCTCCTACCAGCAGCCTGTTCTGCTTCACTTGTCAGTGTTACGTAGAAGTGTCTTTTGTCTTTCCGTGAACTCTCCTTCACTTCTTTGTCCAGTGTTTTATATATTGTACTCAGTTCCTCCTCTTGTTGTGCACCCTTGCACTAGTTTATCTTCTGCTTCACCATCCTCCCCTCCCTGCTCTATCAGCTTCCATGTGTCCATTGAGACCCATTTCTTATCTTCTTTATTTTTCCTTCCTAATACGGCTGTGCAGGTTTCTTTCCATATAGCTTTCAGAGAGTTCCAGTGTTCATCTACATAGGTTTCTCCAGGGATGTTGCTCGATATCTCTCATTTTGTCTTGATGGCTGATGTGATTTTCTTTGTAGTTTCGTCCTTCAGTTTCCGAGTGTTGTAGTTGAGCTGCGGTCTATCACCAGCTCCCTTGAAGGCTTTCAACTTGATTTGGAAGGCAGGTTCCTTGCACTAGACAGTGAGTGGTGTGAACCTACATCTGCTCCTCTGCTTGACCTTGTGTCAAGTAGACTGCGTCTCCATTTTCTTCACATTGAGATGAAGTCCATCTGATTTTCAGTGTACTGTCTGTGTGGTGTCTGGTGAAATCCATGTTGCTCGCTTTGTGGATATCCTTGTGCTTGAACACACTGCCTCGCCTCCAATCACTAAATCGTTGAATGAACAGAATTCTGCAAACAATTCTCCATTCTCGTTCATCACCTCACCTATCGCTTCTCGACCCATGATCAGTTAGTTCTCTTCCTGTGTTGTCCCCTCTCAGTTTGGCATTCATGTCACCCTGCCTATTAGAATTTTGATATCGCCAACTGCAGTGAGGTATTGTCCAGTGTTGATTGCAGTTGTCTGTGGAATTCCTCCTTTTTCTCTTCATCTGCATTATTTGTAGGTGCATATTGTAGCATTGTATGATTGTGACCTTCCTTCCGTTCGAGTTGAATCTTGCTGCCATGATCCCACACAAGTAGATTGGTTCCCACTACATGAGAGAGAGCCTTCGATGCTCTTCAAGGGACATCATGATAGCCACTCCAAAACTCAGTGTTCTCGTGGTTGTCATTTGGGTGACAATATCGGAGTAGATTATTGATTCTCCAGTGGACAGTTTGTAGTCCACTCCCATTCCATCTGATTTCGCAAATTCCAAGCACTTCGATGTGATACCTCTTCATCTCATTTGAAATGTGGGCTGCCTTGCTGGGTTCAAACATCGTGCGGACATTCCATGTCCCCACGTTTACTTTCGCTTTCATCGAGGGAAGACACATCGACCAATTGGCTTCTGGGAGGCTTTCACCAACTGGCATCATTTCGCCTCTCCGATTCCAGCGAAGAATGAGTTTGCTTTTATTTTATATACTTTGTTAGTGCTTTGAAGTTTGTTTAGGGGTTAGATTTGTTTTCCGGGTAGGGTTGCTAGCCCTATGCCAACCTTCCCTCTTTACTGGGGCTTAGGACCGGCTAGTAACTATTGAGCTAGTTAACCAGGCGAGGTAAAAAGCTGTAATAGGTCCTACTAATCAAACTTCGACAAAAAATAAAATAATTAAAGCTGAGTAGAATTTAAGCATTGGCTATATGAAATAATCTGATCTACTCACTTCATATGAATCCCATTTCAATGAAAGATAGGACAGGAATATATTTATGTCGAGAACTCAAAACTATAAAATAAAATAAGCTTGCAAACACGTGCCTTAGAGATTTTAGAACACAAATTGGTTTTGATTAATGTAATGGATTTGCTTTATCAAGTCTAAAAAGGTTAGTTTTGGTTTTCTTGCTCATAGAAACAAAGTATCGAAAGGTTAGTATTCACTCATTCATCGCTGCTGTAATTCAGCTTGTTGTATTCCCCGCAGTCTAAATCCAAGCATTTTCTTAAGCATACATTTATATTCTCGATTTTCACGAATCTCTGTAAATGTACGTGAATATCCTAAGGATAAATGGGTGAACAAAACCATCTAACTAAAGAAAGTCTAAATGATTAATTAATCATCACAGTGAAACTGTTCTCCACAAACTGCTTGCCAAAAAACAGCTGAATATCATACTTTTTATCAATGGTAAATGATGTCAGTCTAGTCTAAAGGAAGCTTACCAGACTAAATTCTGTCTAGTTATAATTGTAAAGTTGTATGAAATCGGTATTTTGTTTGAAGCCAGCAAAAATCTTGGTGCATACCGTCGTCGCTTATTCAGAAAGGTGAACAGATTTGCTGGTGAGTCGAAATAAGCAGCATAACACTACTCGAAAAGCAGTTGGACACTAATATTATTAGGTAGTATTCTCTGACCCCCTAGTGCACCACATAGGTAAACTTTGGTGTACCAGCAAAAGCCAGTATAGGACGCAAATTGGCCCTATTATTTGATGAACTGCAAAAGTAGTTCCTTCATATATTGTTCCATGTTTGTAATGAAGACTCAAGAAATCAAAGTTTGTGTGAATGAGTTTTCATATTAAAGTACACTGATAACGTTTTTTTAAGGTCAAATGATTAGAAAAATTCATTGTTATGTAGGTGTTGAAAGAATTCTCACAAAAATGCATATATTTAGCATTCCTATGAACCTCTTAGAAAAGAATGCATCAATGACTGAATAAATTCATACTGTGAACAAAAGTGAAATTTATGTTTCATGCTGGTACCTTACATAGATTGCAAGGAATGGAATATATCATGAAAAGGCCTTTATGTACAAAATTTCATACAGATGCTTGATGGAT